AGCAGGTATCGGGCTCTGCCATAGGAACAGTAACTTTGGGACAAAATAGTCCAAACTCATGCCCTTGCTGGTTTGGTTCAGTGGATAGGGCATCGGTCTGCAGACTGAAAGGTCCCAGGTTCGATTCTGGTCAAGGGCATGTACCTTGGTTACGGGCACATCCCCAGAGGGGAGTGTGCAGGAGGCAGCTTATGGATTTTCTAAGTCTCTATTCCTCTCCCTTCCTCTCTGTAAAAAATCAATAAAATATAGATAGATAGATAGATAGATAGATAGATAGATATAGATATAATTTTTTTTTAATAGTCCAAACACCTCTCCTTGTTTCACTTGCTGTGACTCATACCACACATGCTAAGGGAAAGCAGCTTTACTAACCTCGGCACAAGTGACTGGCCCAGGCATTGGATACACTACGAGACAAAGGCGACCACATATTATCTTGACCCGAAATAAACCAACCACACGTGAGGCCAGGGATGCTTGGCGTGGATGCAAGCCATGCGACTGTTCCAAAATGAAGATGACAAACCAATAGAACCAAACGCTCTGGGGAAGGAAATATAAATCCTAGAGGAACAAAGAACACATACGTCACTCAAACTTTAGGCTGCATCCGAAACAATGCCCTTTCCTGCAGGATGCATTACACAGGCTGTTCCGGAGGCCCTGGCTTCCTCTGCCCATTTTGTCTCCAGCCAACACTCAACGCCAAAGGTTATCTTCACATACCCGTCACTGAGGCTTTACAGAGTGGTACCAGGACTCCCTCCCCCTAAATATCTCATCCCGTCTAGTAAACGAGTAATATGGGGATGGGAGGGAGATCTGGGGGCAATAAGAGATCAACCAAAGGACTTGTATACATGCATATAAGTACAACCAATGGACACAAAACTCTGGGGAGGGAGGGTATATATGGGAAGGAGGGGGCAATGTTAAAATATGTACACAGATAATAATTTAATAAATAAATAAATAAATAAATAAATACGTAATATGCAAATTGACCATCACTCTAACACACAATAGCTGCCCCCATGTGGTCAAAGATGGCTTCCCCCATGTGGACACAAGATGGCCACCACAGGGCCTTTGCACTTGGCAATTCTGCTGCCTGGAATGCCCTTCCTCCCCGAGTGCCATTCTCATGGCTCATTCCCTCTCTTCCTTCAGTTCTCTATTAACACTGTCGCCTTCTCAGTGAGTAACCGCCTCTTACTGACGCCTGCCTGCCCCACTAGGACACAGCTCCTAAGGACAGAGATTAATGTCAGATGTCTCACTGCTTCACCACCAGATTTCTTTCATTCAAAAGTAATAAATTATAATGTTATATGTCGATTATAGTACAACACAAAAATAAAAAATAGGCAATAAATTCACTAATCAAAGTTCTAGCAAAAGTCCAATACAGGATTATAGACATCAAAAATCAATAAACAGCCCAAACCGGTTTGGTTCCGTGGATAGAACGTTGGTCTGCGGACTGAAGGGTCCCAGGTTCGATTCCGGTCAAGGGCATGTACCTTGGTTGCGGGCACATCCCCAGTAGGGGTCATGCAAGAGGCAGCTGATTGATGATTCTCTCTCATCGATGTTTCTAACTTTCTATCCCTCTCTCTTCCTCTCTGTAAAAAATCAATAAAATATATATTTTTTTAAAAAGCTAACTATCTTGCAAACATAAAATAGACGAGGTTCCTAACTCAGGTGGGCAAACAGATCTATGGTGTTCAGGTAGGCAAACAGTTCTATTTATATTAGGTAAACTCGGGCTGACAAGGAAGGTAATGGGTATGTTATACAGAAAAAGAGAAAGTGAGGCAACTATACGGCAAACGTGAAGTCCCTCTTGCCTCCTACGCAGTGCAGATGCCAAGCGGAGAGCTGAGGAGCCTGCCACAGGATGCTCCGCGGCGGGAGAGGACGCAGAGGGGAGGGAGTAGCAGCCCAGGGAGCCGAGGAGAGCTGAGGGGCGGGCCAAGCGGCCAGGAAAGAAGGGGGATGCTCTGGAGGAGTGCTTAGGGGGAGGCAGTGGCCCACGATCACCACGCGCAGGATTCGATCACCACGCGCAGGATTCGGCAGGGCAGGCAGGATAGGTGCCAGCTGCCCATGGACAAGGGGCATCACCACAAAGACCGAGGATCCAGGGCACAGGGCAGCCCCCAGACAGACACAAGGGCCCTCCCTGCCCACCAGGCCAGCACAGCCAACTCCCCAGACACCCGGAGGAAAGGGAGGGGCAGAAGTCCATGGGATTGTCTAAAAGGTTCTCTCAGAGAGCCTGAGCAATATTTAAATGAGTTATTCACAATTTAAGGAGGGTTAAATAGTAATTTTTCCATTACCAAGCAAGACATCAAAAAAAAAAAAATTAGATTGTGCATAGACCAAATAAATATCTTCTCCTCACATCTGAGTCTGTGATATCAGTAAATATACGAAATGCTTTGAAAAGCATCAGCAGCCCATCCAGAGATAATGATAATTATGTGACATGCTAGAGGTATTAGCTAACACACAATGGCAATTACAGTGCAATGTAAATGTGTCAAATCAATGTCCAACACCCTAAGCTTACACAATGTTACACAACAATTATACCTCAATAAAAAAATTTCAAAGCATCAGCAAATTTCTGATCACATGTGAGAATTCCTTAGACATAAAAGTAGTAAAAGATATAAAACCAAAAAATAACAGATTAGATCATATAACATTTTAAACTGTAGTATATTACACAAAACAAATACAAATCTAGCCAATTTTTTAAGCAGGAAAATTAAATAAGAATTAATGTAATACCTCCAACACATAAACATTTGAAGATTGATAAAGCACTACAATACAAGTTAGCAAAGTCAAAAAGAAAAGTCAAAAAGGATAAGCAACTAATAAATATTTGAATATCTGTTCGGTCTCACAAGTAATCAATAAAACCAAACTCTAAAAATATTCCACTTTTTAACTATGAAACAAGACAATGCATTCAAACCCAATTTGTGTTGTCAGAATGCAATGAAATATACTGTTAGAAATGAGTAAAAACTTTAATGTAATTGAGCAAAACGTTCTTTTCAATCCAATACCCCCTTGCAGTAATCTATCTGTGATATAAAGAAATAATCAGTGATAGAAACAAAAATTGGTATATAAAGACAGTTTACTGCAGCATTATTTATAACTATCATAAAAAGGGAAACCTAAATGATCAAAAAGGTATATTTTGTTTGTTTACTTATAAAATATTCCTTGTTTATACCTAATTATATACTTATAAAGTATACCTTGACCATATAAAGCATTAATACCCATTAAAAAGAGTTTTCAAAGATTACTTAAATATATAAAAAATGATCACTACATTAAGTGAAAAGAAGGTAATGTTATGTACATGAGATGAACAAATTATGATACAGTAATACAAAGGAACATTATTCATCAATAAAAAAAAAAAAAAGAGCAAAAACCAGCCGAAACTGGTTTGGCTCAGTGGATAGAGCGTCATCGGCCTGCGGACTGAAAGATCCCAGGTTCGGTTCCGGTCAGGGGCATGTACCTTGGTTGCAGGCACATCCCCAGTAGGGGGTGTGCAAGAAGCAGCTGATCTATGATTCTCTCTCATCGATGTTTCTACCCTGTTTCCCCGGAAATAAGACAGTGTCTTATATTAATTTTTTCTCCCAAAGTTTCGCTAGGTCTTATTTTCAGGGGATGTCTTATTTTCGGGGAAACACGGTAACTCTCTATCCCTCTCTCTTCCTCTCTGTAAAAAATCAATAAAATATATATATATATATATATTTTTTTTTTTAAAGAGCAAAAACCAGATAGGAGAAACATAAATGAATCCCTAAAAAGAAAAGTAAACAAACAAAAAAAAAACATTATATAAAGTGAAAAAAGTCTGATGCAGAAGAGTAGATGCTGTGTGAGGCTGCTTATATAAAGTTCAGCAACGGGCAAAACTAATCTATGGGACAGAAGAGTGGTTACTTCAGGGAGGAGGGAGGAGGGAACTCCTGGAGGGGGAGGATGGTGACAAATGAGGATTCACAGAGGTAAAAAGTCATCAAATACTATAATTACACATATACATAAATAAGATAATCAAATAAAGTCATCAAGAAGTACATTTAAGATTTGTACATTTTATCATTCATACATACCTCCATGAAGTACTATAGAAATTGCATATTATGGGTAACTTCAATTTGGTTAAATATGTTTATATGTAGAGTAAAAAATATATATAAAGTACATAAAATATTAAAGGTGGTTAAATCTGGGGTTGCAAATTATTTATAATTTCTTTTTATCTTTCTGCATTTTTCACATTCTCTATAAAGAGTTAAATTACTTTTACAAATAATCAGAAAAAGATTATAAACCTTTATAAAAATTCTGCCATGCTTGTAAAATAAAATTCTGTTACACTTATAACTATCACAAAATTATGGATATGCACAGAAAGACTTAGTAAATCCTCCCAACAAACTTATTATAAATTATTAAAACTCTTACAGGAGAGAATTTGAGTAGGCTCTTATTCCTTTTCACAGTACTAAAGTTCTCTGATGTGTCCTATAATTTCACAGTTTTTATCCACCATGAAAAACCGTCTTTAAAAAAATTATAAACACTCATGCTTGCAGTATATTCGGACAAATTAAGGAAAACACTAATTAAGCTAACCACCTGCTTGGTGAGGAAATGAGCAGGTCGACCGGGCAGTCAGCACTAGACTGCGGAATGGCTTTAAAACATGGCCCCACCCAACACAAACACAGGGGTCTCGTGACTCAATAAAAACTAGTTCCTGAAAACCAGTTGTTCTTTTAAGTGACATATGCCTGAGAGTCTGATTTATCTAAGTCCCATGAAATATGCCTGAAGTCAATACTGTTTACAATGAAAACACGCCTCGAGTTTCAGAACCGTTTTCCACGCGCACGAACTAATAAGTGAGAACAAAGCCAAAAGGGCAGACGCACCTCTGGTTGTACATGCCCCGGAAGTTGTAATTAGCTCTGTAATTTGGGAAGGGCTTTGGATCCAGTGGCCTGTAGATGGCAGGCTCTCCCCTCTTCATGGCAAGCCCGTTCAGTTCCACCGTGGGGGTGATGCTACCTGTGAAGGCACACAGCAAAGGCACACAGTGAAGCATTTCCCTAGTGAATCGTGCCAGCTCCCTCTGTATTACATGTAAACACCACGGAAGTAGGTCTGACTTTCCAAGGAGGTGCATAAACAAACTAAACAAACACGAAAATCATTCCCCAAATGAAATCTGGGATTTGGGGTTTTGCAACATTTTCCGTCCAGTAATGGATGGCCAAAAATTCAACTTTATAATGATACTATTTCAAAACAAGGCAAACACAAGTTTCACAGATTGCTCAATTCAGATATTATTAAGAAAGTGTTGAGCCGAAACCGGTTTGGCTCAGTGGTAGAGCGTCGGTCTGTGGACTGAAAGGTCCCGGGTTCGATTCCGGTCAAGGGCATGTACATTGGTTGCAGGCACATCCCCAGTAGGGGGTGTGCAAGAGGCAGCTGGTGGATGTTTCTTTCTCATCGATGTTTCTAGCTCTCTATCCCTCTCTCCTCCTCTCTGTAAAAAAATCAATAAAATATATATTTTTTTTTAAAAAGAAGAAAGTATTGAATTTCCTCATTACTTATCCCAGAAAACTTACAATTATCTAATCATTAAACATTATCATCTGTGAATATTTTTACTTATATTTGCAATGGAGCAACTAAAAGTAGCAAGGAACACAGTCATCAGTAATTCTTGGATTTATCTAATGAAAATAAATTTGAATTTATTCTATAACCAACAACAGGACAAAGGAAAACAATAAGTCATGCTTTCTGCAGATAATCTTCATAGATACATACAGAAGCATGCATGGGTGAAGTGATATATTTGAGATTAGTTTCAAAATAACTCAGAGGAGAGAGAGGTAAGAAACAAAATTGGCCCTGGCTGGTGTTTCTCAGTGGTTAGCGTGTCGGCTTGTGCACAGAAGGGTCTTAGGTTCTATTTCCTGTCAATGGGCACATACCTTGGTTTTAGGTTCGATCCTTGGTGCCCCTTCTGGTCAGGGTGTGTGATAAGAATGCAGGGAGGCAACCAACTGAGGTGTGTTTCTCTCTCTCTCTCTCTCTCTCTCTCTCTCTCTCTCTCTCTCTCTCTCTTTCTTCCTCTTTCCCTCCCTTCACTCTCTCTAAAATGCAATGGATTTTTAAAAAATGAAACAAGGTTGGCCATCATGTGTGGATAACCACTGAAGCTGGGGATAGGTACAGAGACATTTTCTATCTTACTCTCTCTGTTTTAGTACAAGTTCAAATAATTATATAACAAATAATGCACAATGTAAAATTACGTCAAGTTATTTTAAGTACCAAAAGAAGTTATTTAATAAAATATATTTACATTCATTCCGTGTAACAAATCACAAAAATAAATCGAAAGCTTTCTTAGAAAGTAAGATTTATTTGCAATGTAAATTCTGTGCACAGTACGTTTAAGATTCCATTCATCACATACAAAATTGGATGTGGTTCCTGCCACAGTGAACCCGGGGCCGGCCCAGAGCACCAGCAAAGGGGTGGGGGCTGGCCCCAATGCAGCCCTGGTAGCCAGCCAGGCCACAAGCAACCCACCAAGTCTCAAGAACCTGCTCACGGGGTCTCATCCCTAAAGAATTCGTGTGAAACCATGGAAGAGTTTAAAGGAACAAGAATAAACCGAGGTTAAGAAAGGGGGGGAATATGGGGAGTGAAGGACAAAGAAAGAGGTGGGAAAGAATAAGGAAAAAAAGCAAAGTTATTTGAATTAGTCCAAATCCCTAATTTAATCCATATGCGCAGGACAGAGGAAGAGAAAGTCCAGCATGAAGGAATTTTCTTGTCTGTCTTTTTCAGTATTACTTTGTTCAGTATTTTACCAAGGGAGAAATAAGATGCACAAACCGTAAGCATATGGCTCCATGAACGTAGACACTCGTTCAGATTAAGGTACGAATGTTTTCCTCACCCGGAAGGTTCCTCATGCCATTTTCCAGTCAAGACCGACCTCCCCATGGGACCCATTCTGACCTCTGTCATCATGGATCCGTTTTGTCCTTCGAATCCGAATAGGAATCATTCCGTCTGGCTTCTTTCACTCGACATAATGATTTTATTGAATATATCGGTAATTCAAACTATATTTCATCACTGAATATTCCCATGAATGAACATGCCAGTGTATCTAATCTGCTGTCGCTGGGACATGTGGGATTGTTTCCAGTTTGGGGCTGTTAAGTGAAAAGCCACCTTGACACTCACTTGCTCTGGGTGTGGATACCTAGCAGTGGACCTGCTAAGTCATAGAGTAGGTTTATATTTAACTTTATTACGGACTGCCTCATAGTTTTCCAGAGATCTGTATCCACACCAAAGAGCAGTCTATGCCTTTTAAAAGCTTACAATCCTCTTCAGGAAGACTCCAGTTTAATAATTAACATGTAAATCAGCTGTAAGATTTTTGTCATTTTTGAGTTCTCCTTTGCCATCATCACAGACACCAGCAGCCTCAAGGTCACACGGGGTCCTTGTGAAGGAGAGAAGGGGAGCAGAAAAGCACAAACTGTGCTGAAAGGGGTCCTCCTCTCTGGAGGAAAAGGTCTCCTACTGTTCCACCAGACGAAGGCAGTGATGTTTTCCCACAAAACACTCTTTACAGAGTAACTTCAAACTCGGAGCTACCTCCATGTCATGCTCAGGACTGTTATCTTCAATTGGGCACAGGCTACAGAGAGAGAATCATTACCCAGGAACCCTCCTGTGTCACACGGCTATAAGCAACACTATACCCACAGGACCCTTTTTCAGTGGGTTTTAGCCACATTGAAGGAAATTTCTACATTCATCGGCGATAAATATAAAAAGGCTAATTAGATATACAAACGTCTGTAGCTACAATCGTGGACTTCTAGTATGTGGTAGGTGAAAGAAAATTGCCACATATCACTGACACTTGAGGCCACAGCTTTGTAGGAAGTTAGAACAGTCCCTAGATCACAGTAGTTGCTCAATAAATATGTGTTGAAAGAATGAATGGATTTCAGAGCTCCTTGGGGACCTGGCTGGCACCAGGGTCAGGGTCAGGGCCAGGGCCAGGAAAATACCAGTCGGCCTGGAACAGCTATTGTGCCAGAGAATGAGGAGGTAATACAGAAGGACTCGGGGATTGACTAGAAGGGGCCATACCACTGGCCAAATCTGGGACAAGGTGAGAACTGAAATTAATAATGATAGATTACACGCCTCTAAGTTAAACAGGAATGCAGGAATCTGTGGTGATATACATAAACAAACAAATGAAAAAAAACGAGAGGGAAGAAAAGCTCTTGGGTAGAATGCCAACTATTAAATCTAAAAAGAATACTGTAATCTAAAAATCACCCATTGGGAAAGAATATTTCTCTTGTTTTAAATCACAAAAGAAAAAAATCACTGTGGTGCCTGGCCAGTGTGGCTCAGTGGTTGAGCATCTCAACCCCATGCAACCAGAGATCACTGGTTTGATTCCCTGGCAGAGGACATGCCCCGGTTGTAGGCTAGCTCCCAGCAGAGAACGTGTAGGAGGAAGCCAATCAGTAATCCTCTCTCATTGTTGATGTTTCTATCTCTCTCTCCCTTCCTTTCTGAAATCAATAAAAATACATTTTAAAAAAGAACATGCTTTAATTGTTGCATTCACTATTCAGTTTGGCTAAAACTCTTGTTGGTTTCTTTAGTGCGTCTAGTTGATGCCTAAATAGCTTTCTCATTTTTTCCAACAGATCCAGAAATAGAAGCTTGTGATGCAAGAACACCTGTTCTTTTTGTGGCATTCATCAACTTCCGGCCTTAATTCATCTTCTGGTGTGACTTAAGCATGAACATGTGCATAACCTATGACTCAACCATTGCAATCCTAGGCACAGCCCCGACAGAGATGTACTAGTATATGTACAAGAAAGATCACAACAATATTAGTTATAAATCATAATCCCAGCTGGACACAACCCAAACCTCCATCAATAGTACAACGACTAAGAAAACTGTGGGATATTCATGCAATGGGATACTATAGAGCAATGGAATACGACACTGCTAAACACAACACAGATAATTCTCACAAGCATAATATTGAGAAAAACAAGCCACCTGGCGTATGGCTCCGCGAGCCGGCCCAATGCATGTGAGACGTCAGGCAGCAGAGCAGTGTTCCCGTTGGAGCTGTGTGACCACTGCACAGGGCTGGGGCCCTGGCAGAGCCTGTGGAACTGGTAAAGCGATCAAAGAGCCAAGATCCATCAGGGCTCCCTCCGGGATGCGTGCGCCTGCTGGTACCTCCGATTATACTCCATCTTAAAGGTTTACCCCCAAATCTACTCATTCTCTCCGCTCACTGCCACCTCCAACAGGGGAAACACATCTCCACTGGCCCTCAGGCTCGGTCCTGCTTCCTTCCTCTGGCCTCTGGGCTGCTGTGCCTTCCGCAATAACCCTCAAGGTGGGCCTGACCCAGAGCTTGGCACACACATTCACACCAACCGCCCTGCAGAGCACCGCACTGCCACGGCAGCAGCCACTGGGCCGGCGGCAGCCATTGGGCCAGCAGCCACTGGGCCGGCGGCAGCCACTGGGCCGGCAGCAGCCACTGGGCCAGCAGCCAGTGGGCCGGCAGCAGCCACTGGGCCAGCAGCCACTGAGCCAGCAGCAGCCACTGGGCCAGCAGCCACTGGGCTGGCAGCAGCCACTGGGCCAGAAGCCACTGGGCCAGCAGCCACTGGACCGGAGGTAGCCACTGAGCCGGCGGCAGCCACTGGGCCGGCAGCAGCCACTGGGCCGGCAGCAGCCACTGGGCCAGAAGCCACTGGGCCAGCAGCCACTGGGCCGGCAGCAGCCACTGGGCCGGCAGCAGCCACTGGGCCAGGAACTCCTGTCCTGCTCCATTCTGGCCACCACTCCCAACAGCCCTGCAGCGCAGGGGCAGACAGAACTCAGTGCACATGACTTTCTTTTCTCGTTTCTTCACCCATAAACTATGGCAGGGGGTTCCTACCTGATCATGTTTTTAGTATTTTCTACCTTCCATTTACATGTCAAATTGAACTTCCTAAAATGCTTTTTTAAACATATCACCCACCACCTCGTAAGTATTAATCCACCAAACTAAGTCCTCCTTTAACATCGACTTTAAGCCAAATGGAAACCTGTATGAGGAGGCCACGTCCCCAGAGGCTGTGATAGACACGGGAGCGAAGTTCCTGCAGCACCTAATGAAACGAGGTGATCGAGGACCTGCTGTGTGGATAAAACTTTATGTCCTAAAGCTGGCACTCAAGCTCATCACAATCCACTCCTTAAATACATCCTCAGTCATATATATATATATATATATATATATATATATATATATAATTTTTTTAATTGATTTCAGAGAGAGGAAGGGAGAGGGAGAGAGAAAAACATCAAAGTGAGAAACATGGATTGGCTGCCTCCCCAACACCTCCTTCTGGGAATTGAGCCTGCAATCTGGACATGTGCCCTGACCAGGAATCGAACTAGGACCTTCTGATGCATGGGACCACACTCAACCTACTGAGCCACACCAGCCAGGCTACATCTTCAGTCTTATCCCTTAATGGACACTTACCTGTTCTAACTAAAAACCATCTACAACTTTTTTTTAAAACCAAACCAATTGTCCAGATTCCAATTCCAGTGCCTTTCCTCAGAGTAGAGTCTTCTCTCCTCTCCTCCATGCCTGCCCACTCTCTAGTCAAGACCCACATCTTGCCGAAACTGGTTTGGCTCAATGGATAGAGCATTGGCTTGGGGACTGAAGGGTCCCGGGTTCGATTCCGGTCAGGGGCGTGTGCATTGGTTGTGAGCATATCTCTGGTGGGGGTTGTGCAAGAGGCAGCTGATCCATGACTCTCTCTCATCAATGTTTCTAACTCTCTATCTCTCCCTTCCTTTCTGTACAAAATCAATAAAATATATTTTAAAAAAAAAAAAAAAAAAAGACCCACATCTCACCTCAGCTACCTCCTGCCATTGGTATTACTGACAACACCAATGGCCATTATCATTCACTTGGTACTTAACCTTTACCATTCATTGAGTTATGTGATTTATATATATGACCGTAACATCTTACATTTTACATACTTCTTAGATCTATTATACATATATGAGTAAGTTCTTAATAAACAGAAGTAGTGGTGGTGATCATTACTAATGATCATCCAGTAATCTAAAGAGATTTTAAAAATCAAATAAGTAGGTTGCCTCTTATCAACTTCAAACTAAATAGGTGTGTTGTTGTTTTTTTATTATAATAATAGTTTGCCTTCTTTAAACTTCCTTAAGAAATACTGGAATCAGCCCTAACCAGTTTGGCTCAGTGGATAAAGCGTTAGCCTGTGAACTCAAGGGTCCCAGGTTTGATTCCGGCCAAGGGTAGTACCTTGGTTGCAGGCATATCCCCGGGGGGGGGGGGGGGGGGGGTGCAGGAGGCAGCTGATTGATGTCTCTCTCTCACTGATGTGTCTGACTCTCTCTCCATTTCTCTTCCTCGCTGTGAAAAATCAATAAGATATACTTAAAAAAAGAAATACTGGAATCAGCTGTGCAGAAGCAAAAGGCCTAGTAATAAGAAAGTCATGGAGTTCTGAAAAGAACAGCTCTTGCAAAAGGAGATTGTGTCTATGAAACAGGTGCCACGTGAGCACAAGAAGTGTCTGACTTGATTACAAACATAAGCCTGTGAACTATAATTAAATAGATTATAGGGTCATTGTTGGCAGGCAAAATGTCTTTTCGTACTCCATCACAAAAACACCTAAAGCAACACTGGTCAGAAGTAACTACCTGAATTAATAAGTTAACGAATAAGTAAAAGGATGTAGGGCTGGTACTAAACTTATGAAATTTTATTAATTTGATGTTGCGAATTCATGCACCATGTCCAACACAGGTTTGCCTCTGCCCAATAGATTACTGAACATATAATGTTGTGGCATTATATGCAGAACAACTTTTTAAAATTATTAGTAGAAGCTTAAAATCAGAGCATTCATTTATTAAACACAGATGGGGTTGCTTTCTTTCTTATTTGTGGGCTCCTTACTAAATTTCATATGAATGTCCTAAACTGAATATCATTTCTATACCAACAAACAGAGTAATAAGATGCTTAGGCTAATTTTATAATGTTTCATTAAGCTAAAAAAAAAAAAAAGAATAACCATTTTAATTATTAAATTTTATATGACATATTAAAAAATAAAAATTGAACATTTCTATCTTTACTTTAGGGAAAAATTCACTCTTATTTCTGTTCTTTGTATCCAAATTTCTTTTCGCCCAAGATTGAAAAAATAAGTAATGGCCCTGGCTGGTGTGGCTCCGTTGGGCATCAGTCCCATGAAGTGAAGGGTCACGGTACATGCCCAGGTTGTGGGCTCAGACCCTGGTGGGGAGCATGCAGGAGACAAACGATAGACGGCATCAATGTTTCTGTCCCTCTCACTTCCTTTGTCTATTTAAAAAAAAAAAAAAAATCAACAATAAAAAAATATTTTTTTAAAAAGAAAGAAAAATTCAGTAATGTACCATGATAGTATCCACTAAGGCAACATTTTTTTTAATACATTTTATTGATTTTTTTTTTTTTTTTTTTTACAGAGAGGAAGGGAGAGGGATAGAGAGTTAGAAACATCGATGAGAGAGAAGCATCGACCAGTTGCCTCCTGCACACCCCGTTCCGGGGATGTGCCCGCAACCAAGGTACATGCCCTTGGCCGGAATCAAACCTGGGACGTTTCAGTCAGCAGGCCGACGCTCTACCACTGAGCCAAACTGGTTTCGGCTAAGGCAACATTTTTAATTAATTACAATTACCTTCTTCATTCTCTCACACTCAGTGATCACTCACAGGTCTTTCTCATACGAACTATTAATACGCCTGCTGACTATACAGCTGGCCTGCCATAACGGACAGACCAGCACACATAGAACACACAACATGATGGAGGAAAGGAGTCCGCTCATACCTGGGTTATTGTTGACATTACTTTTGGGCGGTTTCTGAACGGGCTTGGGGAGTGTAGATTCAGTCAGAGCTTTACTAGCCACGGCCTGTTGGGCCTTCTTGATGCTGCTCCCTTCCGATTCCCATGTCTGCTCACCGAGGCTCAGCTGCACTGAGAACATCTTAGGAAAACATAGAAAGAAACACATTAAAAGTTTTCAGGAAATCGAACGTGCCCTCCGAGAGAAAAACAGATACACCGCAGAATCAACATGTTAGAGCCAGAGGTCCCCCACAGATCATTTGCAAAAAAAATCGTACGGTTCTACCTTGTGAACCAATTTTAAGAGCTTGTGCCAAATCTGTTCTGACCTAGCCAAAGGCTGAAAGGCATACGTGAGCATTTGGGGTAGGAAAGTCAGAAGAAATCACGTCCCTAAAAAGGATCATGTTGTTAATGCCAATTAAACAGTCCTCAAAAAAGCAGAGTACTAAGTACAAAGAGTCAAGAGAAACTGTAAGGGAATCCACAAGGCCCTGTCTCTGTAACACTTTATAAAATTAAGTTCCTTAAACTCATACTTAGCATGATCGAGTCAATAAGTCAGGCAATCCTATCAAATATTATGTCACCAAGAGTCTCTCAATCCTCCACAATCACCATTTAGCCAGTCACCAAAATCCGCCCATTTTAACCTCCTGAGTATTTCTCACTCCTCTCTGTCTGCCAGTGACGCTGCGTTGGAGTCAGATTTTCACCATCATTAGCTCAGACATAATCACCTCCCACATGATTGCTGCTAAAACTATCTGCCTAAAGCTCAAATCCAATTGCAGCACCCCAACCAACAGCAGATTAAAACCCTGCAAACTATTCCCGCCCTAGCCGGTCCCACCTGTCAGCCTTCACTTCACATCCTAACTTTCTACTCACACCACATTTCCTCATGAGTCCAAACCTATTGCTCACCTTGAGAATTTAGAATCAAGTTACAGGGTATGAACACAATCCACTATTTTACTCCACATATAACTTAGTACTCTCTAGTAATACAAAATATTAACCCCAAATGCTTTTCAATTAAAAATAAATAATTGCAGAAAGGAGGTCAGACAGAAAATACCTTAGCCAAGTGACTAAATTAAATCATCAATAATCACACGAACTGATACCACAAACCTCCTGATATGACCCAGTGAGAAGACTGAATGTCCTTGACCAAAAAATGTTAGCCTGAATCTAACCACAGGGAAACAATCAGACAGATCAGATGATGGTATATTCTATAAGGTAACTGGATTATACTCTTCGAAAATAACAATGTCGTGAAAGGAAAACAAAACAAAACAATAATAGCTATTATAGATTAAAGGATGCTCAAGAAATATAAATGCATATGATATAAAGTACAACAAATGACCCTTGACAGGATGTGTACTTGGAAGACAAAGGAATAGAAAAGGCATTTAGAGAACAACTCAGGAAATTTGACTGGACTATATATTATCAAATAAGACTTTCAGTCAAAGTCAAATTTCTTGAGTGATGATAAGTACTGTGGTTATGTAGAAGAATGTCTCTGATCTGTTTAAGATAGATAAATAAGAGCATAGCAGGGCCCTGGCCAGAGCATTGACCCATGCCCCAAAAGTCTCCAGTTATCCCCTAACTGGTTTGGCTCAGTGGATAGAGCGTCGGCCTACAGACTGAAAGGTCCCAGGTTCGATTCCAGTCAAGGGCATGTGCCTTGGTTGCGGGCACATCCCCAGTGGGGGCATGCAGGAGGCAGCTGATCGATGTTTCTCTCTCATCAATGATTCTAACTCTATCCCTCTCCCTTTCTCTCTGTAAAAAAATCAATAAAATATATATTTAAAATAAAAAAAAAGGTCTCCGATTAGATTGATTAGATTCAAGGTAAGGGCACATGCCCAAGTTGCAGGCTCAATCCCCAGTAGGGGGTGTGCAGGAGGCAGCCTATCAATGTTTCACTCTCACATCGATGTTTCTCTCTCCCTCTCCCTTTCTCTCTCTCTAAAATCAATAAAAACATACTTAAAACAAGCACAAACAAAACAACTGGTAAAAAAAAATTTTTTTAAATCTATGAAGCAAAAACTAATAGAACTGTGAAGAGAAACAGAAAACTCACAATTAAAGTCAGAGATTCAATACCCTCTTCTCTCAATAAGTGATCTAACAATTAACAAGCAGACAATCTCAGAGAATTTATAAGACTTGAACTACACTCAATGAATGTAACCTGAATGATAGTTTTAGAACACTCTATCCAAAGAGAACAGAATATACATGAGTTTCAATTTCTCATAAAACATTTACCAATTTCTAGCACTAAATGCCTATACTAGGAAAGAAACAAGAGATCAAATAAGTTAATTTCAGCTTCCATCTTAAGGAATTGGAGAAAGCAGCAAAAAATTAAATCTAAAGTAAACAGGAAAAAAAATAATAAAGATAAAAGCAAACATTAACAAAATAGTAAAATAATAGAGAAAAAAATCAATAAAACTAAAACCTTTTTTTGTTTTTTGCAAAGATCAATGAAATTGGTAAACCTGTAGCCAGACCAAATGTGAAAAAAAGAGAACACACAAATTACCAATATCAGAATAAGAGAGGTAATTACAGATTATTTAAAGTATTAAAAGATAACGAGAACATTTTCTAATTTTATATGCCAATATGCTCAACAACCTAAATTCCTGGAAGACACAATTACTAAAGCTCATTCAAGAAGAAACAGGTAACCCTAATAGCCCCTATATATGTTAAAGAACATAAATATGTATTTAAAACTCTTTCCACAAAGAAAAATCCAGGCCCAGATGGTTTCAATAACAAATTCCACCAAATATTTAAGGAAGAAATAATACCAATTTATAAAAACTGAAGAAGGACCACTCCCCAACTTATTCTATGAAGCCAACATTACCTTGATACCAAAACCCAGAGTATACTACTGAAGAAAACAAAACTACAGATCTTTCTCACACAACTAAATATAAAAAATCCTTAACAAATATTACCAAATGGAATCCATCAATATAGAACTGAGATAATATATTTTAACCAAGCGTTTTAGTCCAGGAATACAAGGGTGGTTTCTACATTTGAGAATCAATGTAATTCACAATGTCATAAGATGACAAACAAAAAACCATATGACTATCTCAATCTATGTAGAACCATCTGACAAAAATCAACATCTATTCAGGTTAAAAACTCTCAGGAAATGATAAATGTAAAAGAATTTCCTCAATCTGTTTAAAGGCAGCTACCAAAAAGGAAGCTATATATAAAAGCACAATTATTTTGGGGGGAGGGGGAGCGAGAAAATAGATTTTAAATGGCTGCCCATAAGATCAAGAACAAGATAGAGATATTGGCTTCCATAACTTCTATTCAACATTGTACTGTACGTTCTAGCCAATGCAATTAGGGAAGAATAAATAAAGAACATTCATAGGACAGCAATGATAAATAAAAACAAATAGAAACTAAAATATAAAAAACAATACCATTTACAATAGCATCAAAAATATGAAATACTTAGGATAAACCTAGATGTGAAATACCTGCTCAAAGGAAACTACAAAGCATCTCTGAAAGAAACTAAAGAGTAAATAAATGAGATAGATTTTGAGGATGGATTGGAAGATTCAATGTTTCTAATATCTTCATTTTTGCCAAATGGAGCTATAGATTTATGGCAATTCTATCCAAAATAACATCTGCTTTACAGAATGGAAAGCTGACTTTAAAATTCATATGAAAATACAAAGGATGTAAAATAGCCAAAACAATCCTGAAAAGAGATCAAATTAGAGGGCTAATACTATGCAATTTCAAGACTTACAAAGGCATGGTAATCAAAACAGCACATCAAAAAGATGAGAAAACAGAACAACAGAACAGAGTCCAAGCTGATTGGTGACAAAGGGGCACAGGCAATGCAGTGGAGAAAGAATTAACTCTTCAACAATGACAAAATCAAAAGCTATTGGTTTTATAGAATCTGGATGTTGTTCCATATCTCACATCACATAAAAAACTAAGTCAGAATGGCAGTTAGACCTAAATGTTAAGACCTAAAACTATAAAACATCTAGAAGCTAACATAGAAGGAAATCCCTATGATCTCCGATGAGGCAAAGACTTCTTAGATACTACACCAAAAGCACCATCTATCTGAGAACAAACGGATGTCAGGGAATTAATCAAAACTAACAAGTGCTCTTTGAACGGCAAAGATAAGACTCAGAGTAGGAGGGAATATTTGCCAAGCACATTAAGGAAGAACTTGCATTCAGAATATGTAAAAAGTGACATCACAGAATATGCAGAGGAGAACACTGCAGTGCAGGAATAGTGAGTATCATGTAGTAAATACTCAATAATTATTTACCAAGGATTTTTTAAAATCCTATACATTACTGCCCTGGGTGGCTGCCTAATGGTTAAAGCATCAGCCCAAGCACAGAAACCAAAGGATCACCGGTTTGATTCCCGGTCAAGAGCATGTATCCGAGTTGCAGGTTTGTGTCACTCTTGACTTTACACAACGAAAGGAAAGCTCGTTTTGACTCTTTTTGCTTGAAGGTAGATTATAAATTTGGATTAAGTTATTTTCACGAATGTTATGTTAAAATTTAAATTCAATCCCCGTTCAGGGCATGTGGAGGCAATCTATCAACGTGTCTCTCTCAAGTCAATATTTCTCTCTTTCTTTCTCTCTTTCTACCTCCCTCCCTTTCTACCTTCGACTCTCTCTCTCTTAAAAAAAAATAAATAAATAAAATTGATGAAAAAGTATCCTCGAGTAAGGATTAACAACAACAAAAAATCCTATGCATGCCCAGCAGCACGGCTCAATGGCTGAGCACTGACCTATGAACCAGGAGGTCACAGTTCAATACCCGGTCAGGGCACATGCCCAAGTTGCGAGCCTGATCCCCAGTGTGAGGCATGCAGGAGGCAGCCGATCACCAATAAAAATATAAAAAAAGAGAAAGGGGTATGAATTAACGGGTATGAAGGAGGATATATGATTAGACAGGTAGACCAAGGCCATAACCTTCTTCTCTACACAAAAAATATTATGTAAATTGTTGCCCGGAACCGTTCCTAAAAGCCTGTAATAGAAGACAAAATTGATGGATTTTAATTTCATCTTATTTTCCTTCTTTAAAGGAGATGCAAGAAAACAATTTAACAATCCAAGAGCTATTTGCTTTACAAAAATGAATCAACTTTTACAGAATCAATTGCCTCCGCATGCTTTACAAAAACTGATGATCATTATCATAATCTCCAATATCCAAGATTTTCAATGTAACAAGGAAACTTATACACAACTGAGACTTTCTTAAACAGATGAATAGAATTCAAACACATATGCATCAGCTACAGATTTCTTTATAACATGTATACATGTAAACATATATATAAGGCAATATACAGAAATACATTGATTTTCCATTTACAAGAACAATATTACAAGCCAATGCCCGGGCAACAATACCGGTTAGACAACTTCCATAAATGGTGAGCCTCGGCAGTAAACAATGGAAAAGATATCTCACCACTAGTTAACCATTGCTATACTCACAGTTTTATTTACTCAGCAGCTATTTATTTAATGGAAAGAACACTACACTTGGGAGCCAAAGAACACATATCTCATGTTGACATGGGCATTTATGAGTATTAACCAAGTCATTTAACTTTTCTGTGCCGGAGTTCCTTAGTTTACAAAAAGGAAATCAAAAAGCCCTATCTCATGTGACTTTGTGAAGTACCATATCTAAGTTCTGTAAACCATAAAAAGGTACAAAGCTGTCTAGTTACAGACTTTAAAATATTTTTCATATGGAACTCAGAGCCTCCAGGACATCTGCCGCCCCCTCCCGCCAAAAAATGAAGCACAATGGAAACCTAGACGATAAATCGGATAGACTTTGAGAAGCGCGTCTCACCGCCTGGCTTCGAGCCTTACCTTCGCGTGAGCAGGCCCTCTTTCTCTCAGAAGCTTATACTGGGGTTGGACTCTATTGAAACGGGCTAACTCATTTACCAGACACACTGGAGTTTTCTCTTTGGGCTTTGCCATTTTATCTTGGAGAGAAGCTGTAAATAAAAAGGCTGTGAAGTTTTTGTCACTCTTGACTGTACACAATGGGATTTGGGAATTAAGTGTTAAATTTAAGTATTAGTTCTTTCAACTATTATTTTATAATAACTTATTTTTCTTTTTTTAAACAAAATTTTGAAAGTACGAATAGAAGGAATAATTTAACAATGCCTAAGTCCTTAGCATCCAGAACGGAAATTAACATTTTCCATGTTTCCTTTAAGTCTTATTAAAAAAAAAAACAACAACAGTATTACCATATAGTTAAGTTTCTTTTATCTAAGAAACCAAAATTATATGAATTTAGAATATATCCCTCTGGGGTATTGTAAACACACTTATATGCATGCATATCCAAGAAGAAATACAGTCTTGATATATGTGGCTTTACAGCCACATAAAGAGTAATAATAAATATATCATTTTCACCAATTTCTTCACTCTTTCATTATGTTTTTGCAATTGTAACTTATATATTCAGTACATCCCTTTTAACTGCTATATAATTTCCTTCACAAGATCATACCCATTTCTTATCCCACTCCCCTACCGATGGACATTTAGAATGCTTCCAATTCTTCACTCGCACAGGTAAAAAATACCCTACCAAGTGGCATTGAGAATGATTGTACCCAATTACCTTCCCTAGCAACATGATAATTACCGTCTCTCTCAACACTGAAAACACACGGTATGGTCGGTATGGTCGGGTACTTTGTGATAAGCTAAACCTTGACAAATAGCATCCCATTATGGTCGCCCACCCACCCCTCTTTTAATTGGCATCCACAGACTGCAAGTGAGGGGACTCATCTGCTCATGTTGATCGTTTGGGTTTTCTCTTCTGGGAACTGCTTCTGTCCTGCTTTCTATTGGTCATTTTATATATTTTATATTTTAAAAAAACTACTAATCCATCTCTTATGCTTTTCAGGCCTTAAGAAATCCTTTCCTAACCTGCAAGGTCTTAATTACTTTCACTTCAATTTCCTAAGCCTTCTCTCCTTTATCTGCAAAGGAAAGGCCATAAATCTATCCTACTTAACGCACAGGCTGTTATGAGGTTAAGATTTTTAAATGTATGGGACTCTAAATTATATTATTACAGCTTCAGAACTTTCCCTAATACTGTATTAAATTATTTTCCCTAATGTTTTTCCTTCATCTCACTTACAGGCACATTAGTTGCATGTTAGTTTTTCTTTCATCTCCCATGTATCAGTGTCACACCTTGCACACAGATTACCTCCTGCTCAAACTGGAGTCACAATGTGTGAAGAACACATTAAATGAATGGAAACAGCTGGTTTCAGGAACTTTATGTTCAAATGTTCTATGGCAAGATTTAATGTAGAAAATTGTATTCTTTTAACTTTTTAAAGCTCTTTACAAGACCAATAGATGATAACTGATTCTATAATTAAACCATTCTAAGTGGCTTGCAAGCAAAAAAAAAACCCTAGTAATCATTATTGTTTGGAACAACACAAAAAAGACAAGAGTAAGTCAAGGGAGTTTTGAGGAAACCTGCCTACTCCTTAGCCAACTGTGTAGCATTCAGATAAACATTCCATAGATGGTTCCAGAGCCAGTCGTTGTATCAAACACAAGGTGACCTGGGGCTATAACCAATCTTGGTCTGCACACACTGTGACATTAGATACTCAAGCATAACAGATAACAAACACAGCTACCTGCACACACACAAAAAAAAAGCCAAACGAAAAACGACAAATATATTAAAAATGAGAAAATATTAAAGTCTGGTAAGAATCAGGCAGTTTTGCATAACACTGAACTAGCATTTGTTCTGTTAGTGTACAATGTTGACAACTCAGCAATGCCGCACATTCATCTGTTACAATGGCAAAACTTCTAGGAACATGGCAAGCACAAGGTGACAATTTTACAGTGAGAAAAGGGTGGCCCTAGCCGGGTTGGCTCAGTGGATAGAGCACTGATCCTTGGACTGAAGGGTCCCCGGGTTTGATTCTGGTCAAGGACATGTACCTCAGTTGCAGACTTGATCCCCAACACCTGTGAGGGCACATGTGGGAAGGCAACCGATGAATGTGTCTCTCTCACATCGATGTTTCTCTGTCTCTCCCCCTCCCTTTCATTCTAAAAATCAATGGAAACATATCCTTATTGAGGATTAACAACAGTAACAACAAAAAGGTAGTTCTTTTCAAATATATTTTTATTGATTTCAGAGAGGGAGAGAGATAGAAACATCAATGATGAGATAATCACTGATTGACTGCCCTGATGGGGAATCAAACTATGACCTCCAGGTTCAAAGGTCAATGCTCAACCACTGAGCCATGCCAGCCGGGCCAGTAAGAAAAATCTTAACAGCATAGGCTTGAAATCTATTAAAGGAAAGTGCTAACTAATAACATGGCATTAAACTTAGATTCCACTAATTTTGACTTTCTGCTTCATAAAAATAACATGCACCCAATAAAACATTTTAATGTGTGAGTAAAATTTTGGCAAGAAGGGTATGCAAAACACCTGCAAGACCTCACTTTTTTTTTTATATTTTATTGATTTTTTAAGAGGAAGAGAGAAGGATAGAGAGTTAGAAACATCAATCAGCTACCTCCTGCACACCCCGCACTGGGGATGTGCCTGCAACCAAGGTACATGCCGTTGACCGGAATCAAACCTGGGACCCTTGAGTACGCAGGCCGATGCTCTATCCACTGAGCCAAACCGGTTTCGGCAAGACCTCATTTTGATAAAACTTTATAGCAAAATACAACTGTTTCAAGTTGGTAAATTTGAAAATAATTAATCCTGGTTGAAATTGTTTGCTTTAGCCGAGACTGGTTTGGCTCAATGGATAGAGCGTTGGCTTGGGGACTGAAGGGTCTTGGGTTCGATTCTGTCAAGGGCATGTACCTTGGTTGCGGGCACATCCCCAGTAGGGGGTGTGCAAGAGGCAGCTGATCGATGACTCTCTCTCATCGATGTTTCTAACTATCTCTCTCCCTTCCTCTCTGTACAAAATCAATAAAATATATTTTTTTTAAAAAGAAATTGTGTGCTTTACAAAATGATTAAAACTGTAAGTAGCTGTTCCTCTATTTAATCAGAAATCTCATGAGTCTTAACTCCTTGACAGAGCTCTTTCCAGTGCCATCAAATTTCTTGAAAACAAAAGATCTGTTTCAAAGCAGTTCATAAATCAGTTATAAGATAGTCAGTCACCGGATGCCAAGTACAGCCTAGGGCTGTGGTCGGCAAACTCATTAGTCAACAGAGCCAAATATCAACAGTACAACGATTGAAATTTCTTTTGAGAGCCGAAAGCCGACTTCTGCAAATGGACCACAAAGTTTCGATCGCACTGTACGTGGAAGAGCCACACTCAAGAGGCCAAAAAGCCACATGTGGCTTGGGAGCCGCAGTTTGCCGACCACTGGCCTAGGAAATACAGTCAATCATACTGTAACGACTCAGTACAGTGTCAGATGGACACTACTCTTATGAGTAGGGTGGGATAACTTCGTAAACTATGTAATTGTCTAATCGCTATGTTATACACTTGAAACTAATATAATATTGTATGTCAACTGTAATTTTTAAAAAGAGAGGCCATAAGTGTAAGGCCTACAAATCTCTGACTTTTCAAATGAAACTACAGTGGGATTTCAACACTGCTTAGAAGAGTGTGGCCTTGCCAGCATTTGGTATTGTCTGTCTTCTTACTTGAGCCATTCGAACAGGTGCATTCCCATTGTGGTTTTAACCGGTATTTCCCTAATGACTAATGAGGTTGAACATATTTTCATTTTTATATGCTATTTATGCTATATATATATAGTGAAGTGTCTATCTGAATATTTTACCCATTTTAATTGGGTTATTTCTTTTCCTTCTTGTTTTATTTGAAGTTCTTTTTTTTTCTTTAATATATTTTATTGATTTTTTTTTTTTTTTACAGAGAGGAAGGTAGAGGGACAGAGAGCTAGAAACATCAATGAGAGAGAAACATCGACCAGCTGCCTCCTGCACATGCTCACCAACTGGAAGAAATCTGACCAAGTCCCTCATAAAAAGAGGCTAATCTTTTGCAACGTGGCCTGGACCCAGTATAAATTGGGCAATGAAGATGTTTGGACAGTTAATGGCACCACTAATTTTAATACCATCTTAATTTGCAAGTCCCAAGGAAACAGATGGAGGTTCCATATATCCAAGCCTTTACGGTCCTCAGAAATGACCCTAAGCTATGTACTACCTGTCAACTAGAAAAAATATACCTTCTTCTGATATTTTTTGTCCCATCTGTGTGTTTGTTTGTTTTCCTTTTTCATCTTTACCTACCTTTTTTTGAACTATTATATTTTAGTATTCAATTTTATATCCCTTATGGGCTTATAATTTATTTTTCTTTATTTTTAGAGCGATGGCTCTAAAATATACACAGCCTACCTTCAAGTAAATATTATACCACTGCATGTATGGTGTAAGCCCTAACAATGCTCTATGTCCCTTTCCCATGCCCCATTCTTTATCAGCCTAAGTATGTATGTTATAAGCCTCCAATTAACTGTTAACTTTATTTTGAATCATCAATTATCTTTTTAAATGTTAAAAATCTAGAAAATGTCTTTTATATTTACCACGTATTATACAATTTCCTGCACTCTTCATTGCTTTTCAAAGATCCAAATTTCCATCTGTTACTAATTTTCTTTGCCTAAACAACTTCTTTAAGACCTTGTGCAGTGCAAGTCTGCTGAAAATGAATTCCCTCAGATTTTGCTTCTCTCAAAAGTCACTGCCTTTGCCTATCATATATCTCATAAGGGATTAATACACAGAATATATAAAGAACATTTATGTCTCAACAACAAAAATATACCAATCCGCCCGGCTGGTGTTGCTCAGTGGTTGAGCATCAACCTATGAACCAGAGGGTCACGGTTTAAATCACAGTCAGGGCACATGCCTGCCTGGGTTGCAGGCTCGATCCCCAGTAGGG